CTGGAGCAAGGAAAGGAGAGAGCAGCTTTCAGGCTGCTTGCCATTTGGGAAGCAGTCTGGAGTATGGTTTGAGAGCCTTCATAATGCGCAGCCTGTTTCCAGGGTGGCACTGACGCATGGTGCGTGCGCCCTTCCCGCGCTGCCATCAGTGTTGTGCGTGCTACTGTTTCATACTGGTAAAGGAAGCTTTATATTACAGAAATACTAAAATTGACTGGATTGTTGCTTCCTAAGTCTAGTCAAGTGGTTGCCGCAGACCCTCGCAGCTTGCTCTCAATGTGCGCCCTCCGACAGGGTGGGATGCAGAGCAGTTAATTTGACTGACATAACCACTTTTTTGTCTGAATCTCTACAGTCACTAGGAGTTGAAACAGGCCTTAAGAAAGGTGGTCTTACATTAGGAGAGTCAGTCTAAAATAGCTGCACTTGGTTTCAGTGACACTGGTCTCTGCCTGGGGATGGTTATTTGGGGCAGAGAGGGGAGGAATAAGGGTGGCCTCTGTTTCCATAAGCAAGCCCGCATGTTTGCACGGTCCCTCTTTGGTAGTACTGCAGGAAAATTACTCATTCCCGAAGCCTTATGAGGGCGTGGATCTATGACCCCGCCAGCTGGGCTGTGATGGGTCTGGGAGAGATTTGGTGAGAGATGATCTGCTGCCGGCAGGGACGTCATCCCTCACAGGTGATGGGGAAACCCTTGGCTGGTGCCCTTCTGGGGTGGCTTTAGGGAGAAAGCACCCCAAGCAGCGTGTTTCAGTACTGTTTGGGGGTAGGAAGAAATTGATTTTAAAATATTGAGACCAGTCTGAAGAAAATGAGTTAGAGGTTTTATTAAATACACTGGGCCATGTTACTTGCTGACTGAAGTCCTGAGTGCCACTAGTCTGAACAATCAAGTGATTTCTCATAAGGTCAACATTATCAGATCGGTTATTTAAGGTGAAATTTTAAAAAAATGAGGTTAAGTTGCTATGTAATGCTGTAGCTGGGAGGTCAATATGTATGTATTTTTCCAAATCAGGGTTTTAAGTAATCTGGTCTGAAATCACTTGAAAATAAGTCTTTCGGCACTGTGAGCCAATATGCAGGTGAACATATTTAGATGTGATGCCCAACCTTTCCTTAAGCTTCATGTAGATAATGCTGCCCTGAAAGTAGGGAAGCTTGTTTTCCTTTTTTCAGCAAGGATAAATTTGATTTTTATGAAGAGGTAGACTCAGATGAATCAGTAACTGTGGCAGAAAGGAAAACTGTACAACTTAATAGCTTCACATGAATATTTGAGCAAAAATTATTTTAAATCAGCTGCTGTTGCTGCCTCTGCTTCTTGTTAGTTGATTTTTCTGTTCTTCATGTTACTGCTTTGTTTGTACCTGATGTTGAATAAGTTGCATCTTTCTTTGATAACTATGTCTTTAATAACTTTTCTGTTTCATAGGAATCATTGCAATTGGCCACATTAATGAAGCAATTGACCAAGGAAATCCTCAGAAAACTCTAGAAACCCTACTGTTGCCCACAGCCAAGCTGCAAGATGTGAGACCAGTAAATGCAAGGCATTATCAGGATGTTCTTCACCACACCAAAGCACAGAAATGCAAGGTTAGAGCTTTGACTGTTGCTGTTTGTCAGAACTGAAATGCCAATTCTTTTCACCTACATGTGTGTCCCTGTCCTGTTCCCCCAATGTTTGGATTAGCTGTCCCAATGGGGTTGTAAATAAGCCAGTGACAACAAACTGGCACTAAGTAATTTTCCACTACAACTTATTCTGACTGGCAAAAGGGATTAATTCTCAATGTATTAATACTGAGACATATTCTGCATGTGTGTCACTACTGACTTGATGTACCCTTTCTTGTTTTTAATTCTGCTAGGTTGCTGTAGCTACTACAAAACGTGGGCAGCAGAAGCCCTGATGTAGTTACGAATTTGTGCAAGGATCTAGTTACTAGACTGTTTCAGGCAGGTTGTTACAATATGGATGGGAATTGAGGTTTTTGCCAGAAAGGAGCCATAGTCATGCTGAAGGAGTCATGGTGTTCCTTAACAAACCTCTGGGAAGTACTTTGATAAGTCTCAGCTGCTTAAATCTGGTGTTTTATAATAGCGGAGTTTTGTGTGTATTTCTCTTCTGGCTTTATCATGCAACAACAAGCTGGCCGTCTTGTATGTGCCTTCAGTTTAAATCTATCTCAGCAGGATATTGCAATCTGCTTCCCCAAAAGCAGTGCCCTGGTTAGCTTAGGGAAGCATAAACAAAGATCAGCCTAACTGCTTGCAGGATGTGACTGAACACAAGATTAGCTAAAGCTACTAGCGCAGCACTTAATGTCCAGTGTTTGGAAAAGACGCTTGAAATGCACATAATGCGTTCCTAAAGTAATATCGTTGGCCGGAGAAAGTCCCTGAACTTTGGCTTGAAGAAATATCTTCCAGCTATCTTTCCACCTCACCTGTGGTACCTGCTGTGAAACAGTGTGTTTCTGCAATCCACTGTCAGAGCTTTCAAAACGCGTTTGCGCATCTCAATTTCTTGCTTGGGTTCCCAGGTAAGGGCTGGTTTCACTGAGTCCTGGATCCTGAAAAGCCTCTTCCCTTGCCGTGTGTGTTTGGGAGGGTTTCGTGCATGCTGACTGCTTTACCCGTCCTGGAAGGCCTAGGGTTGGTATTTGAGTGCAGAGAGTGTCCGTGCAGGTGGTGGCTACGCAGTGCTGGCCCAGGACGTGCCAGACCCTTTGTGCACGCCTAGCGAGCCGGGATGTCCCTGAGGCAGAGACCGACAACCCACAGGCGCCCACGTGCCTGCACACAGCAGCCCTGCCCTGGCTCGCTCCTGCTGGCTGCCGCTGCGCTCCCCGGCTGCAAACCTGGTGCCTACTGCTGTCCCTGTGTGAATGTGCGGATAGGAAACAAATGGGTGTCTCCAAGTTGTGGAACAAAAATTGTGCAATCTTTTTGAAGTCTCCTTGTTCAAAAATACGTGATGTTCCTAGAGACTTCTGCTGGCCTTTCTCTCCTGAGGTATTTTGGTTTTGCAGTCCTTTGACAACTCCTTAAAACATCTCCTCTGTAAACAGAAACTTTGCTCCTGTTTAGGAAGAGAGCAAGACACTGTACTACTATATGTGCTCCCAAAAGAAATATTCAGATGCATTAATCTGACTTACTGTCTATGCTGGTCAATCACACATACACCACCATTCTTTAGGTAAAGATATGATTTAGACTGAACTTCCCTAAAAAAAAAAAAAATCCAAACAGAATTGAAAAGATAGTGCAATGTATAACATCTGTCTATTCCCCATGTTTTCTGAGCCCTGTTAATAAAGCAGATCTGCCTTTAATTGTATTTAGCATGTTTTAAGAGTGAGCCATGGTAAAAGGAAGTATTTGATTTACAAGGATCAGATAGGCCTGCCTGTGAACTTCCTGTGTTCCCCAGCGTCTGGAAAAACATATGGGTCAAACCTGCTTGCTTATTCTAACTAGCCTGCTGTCACGTCTCTGTAGCTGTGGTGGCTTCGGGAAAGCAGAGTCTGCACCCGAATCTCCCAGTACCCATCACAGGTCTTAATCTCAGATCACACCTACTTGTTCCTTGCTTGAAATTGAAAATGCAAACCTGGAATTTATTTATTCCTGTAATCTTAAACCACAGCTTCTAACAGTTCTCAAGGCCATTTCAAACCAAGTGTATTCAGTCCCAGTGAAGAGAAACCCTGTCTTTAGGGAGTGTATTATGAATACCTGAAAAGTTGAACAGATGTGCCAAACTCGGAAATGGTTCCTGTGGGCTTTTTTTTTTTGTGATAGGCACACAAGTTTTACAGTTAGGTTCCTGGTTTTTGTATTTACAATAGTTGTATAACATCTGGATTATTTTAAAGTTATCTTTAAAATCTCTCTTGTGCATGTTGAGGGAATGGCATGATTAAAACTAACTTAAATTAGGAGTCAGAAGAAATTGAAGAGGGGGAGTCTTACCAGGCTGCAAATTCCTTGAAGACATTTTCCAGTGCAAATGATTTTATTTAAGTAAAGTTTTTTACAATACTATTATCAAACTGATGTAAAACATTTTTTCTCATCACTGTCTTACATGCTGCAGCTACAAATACAAACACCAACCACTGAGCTCAATTTGTAGAAACTTATACTCAGTATATATGTAGCTTTTGAGTTTCTGTAAAGCTGACCATTTGTTTTATTAACCTGGACAATCAATCATAACTAGCTTCAGTATTTGTAGCACTGTAGGTATTTCCTGTGAGGATGTGGAAATAGAGAATACTACAAAATAGCTTCCCTGTTTTGCTTACCAAGCAAGAATAATACATGCCTGGATTCACCCCTGATAAGGGTTAGCTCCCAGCAATCCTCATGGGCTGGAGGAGTGCAGGCGCTGACGAAGTGGAAGAACAAGTCTCCAGTGCAAAGCTGGTTAAGCAGCCTCACAGGAGATGCTGCCTTGGAAGTGTCAGGCTCCGTGTCTATGGCTGTAGATTTACTGCTCCTTGAACCTCCAGGGACTCTGGCTCTCTATTTCCAACATCCAAGGCAGTATTTGCTCTTGGCTATGTGACAGGGAGCTTCTGCAAAGCTCAACAGCTCCTGGGCACATAGAAAGTGCTTTTATTTTTTCCCATTTCCACTGGGCCAAAAACTTGTTTTCACACCACTGTTCCTGCAGTGGTTGTGGGCTGAGAGCTAATTTGAAGTATTTGGAAATCATGAATGGGCCTAAAAGTGCTGTTTAGATATTGATTCCTCTTCTGGTGTTCAGAGGCTGTGGTGACTGATATTCTGGTTTCCTCTCTGTGGCCATGAAAGTGATCTCAGAAGGAAAAGAAGGTGCGGAGCCACTTCCCTGAACCTAGGTATACCAGGTGTTGCAATATGCGTGATAAAATTATAGAGCTGGAGAAGTGTATTTCTGAAGATATTCCTTGTGTGGTGAGTGGAAGGAAGTAAATTTTACTGAGATTGTTTTTTAACACTTTTTAGGTTTAATTGTTGCACCTAAGATTTATTGCTGCCTGGGTTAATACTATACAAAATCATAATTCCACTAATATAAATATAGAAATAAATTCATTTTTCCCTGGATATTTTAACCATTGTTAGATAAATATTGGATTGGCTTCTAATTTTCGACATCAGAAAATAAAGGAAAGGATCAAGACAACTGTTTAAACTGCTAAGGCATAAAGCAATTAGATAAAAAGAATACAACCCATCTGTGTTGTAATAGTAATAGTTGATGTGATGGATAATAAGGATAATATTGCTTGGCACAAAGCAAATAGCAAAGATGGTAAGGATCAAAAGACTGATTTTAACGTACCAGAACCATTCATGAGTCTTGAGTGTTCGTATAATAGAGACATAGCAGAAAACGATAGTTGCAAGAGGTATTAAAAACCCAAAGATAGCTAAAGAAACATAGTAGTAGAACTGGAAGGAAGATATTGTTTCACAGGCGTTATGCACATCATGGCAGGTGTAAATGCCCAGTTGTTTCACATAATAGCTTTGCTGCATTATGCAAAGCGGGAGCATGTACAGGAAGACAAAGGTCCACACAGTAGCGCAGACCGTGATGGCATAGGCACGTTTTGGCAGGCTCTTGTAGGTGAAGGGGTGAACGATGGCCACGTAGCGGCTGACGCTGATGCACGTGAGCAGCAGAATGGAGCAGTACATGTTGCCGTAAAACACCGCAGTGGTAGTTCGACACATCATTTCCCCAAAAATCCAGTTGTTCCCGTTGATGTGGTACACTATTTTGAAGGGCAGCATGATGCAGAAGAGCAGATCTGAAATCGCCAAGTTTGTGTAGAGGATGGCAGTGCACACGGACCGGATCCTGAAGAGCAGCATCCATAAAATGATGGCATTAGATGGTACACCCAATAAAACAGCACTGAGGTAAACGGCAGGTATTAGCTTGGTGCTCAGAGAACTGGTCAGGTACTCCAGCGTGGTGTTGTTCACTTCTGTTAAAGTGGAGTCATTTAACTTTTTTGGAGAGCATTTGTGTTCTCTGATATGGACGGTCGTTGTCTCCCCTTCTATAGCATAAGGGGGGATGTAATCATAGTCTCTTGCCGAAATTCCACGGAAAGTCTTGATAAGAGACACGGTTTTAGTTGCGGAGCCATTCAGTGAAAATTCTGAAGCTTAAAAAAAAAAGTTAAAATTGTTAAAAAGGACAAACTGCTGGATTAGCAATACAATTCACCTTCAGGTACAGAGAAGGGTAAACATCTCCATGTGAAAAGCAATATATGTTTCAAAGATTTGGTGGCATTCCTCTTTGCTTTGGGTGTTCATATCAAATGTACTCAAGGACAATCTTCACTTTATTTGTCATCTCACATCCAACCTTGAAAATTTAGCATGAAGTTAGTGTTAAGCTGATCTTTCTGCAGTTTTCATGTTTTCAGTAATGTTTGGCAAAAAGCATCAGACACTTGTGCAATATTTATCACCTGTAGAGGGTTTTTCCCAGTAGTAGCAATGTTGGTAATTCATCACAAAAGCAGCAGCCTTGGTGTAGGCTTGATCAGAATTTCCAAAGCAAACAGCAGTACTATCCTTGTCACTTCATGGATGAAATGCATGACTGCAAAAGATGTAAAAGCGCTGTCTTGCCTAACACAGGCTGAAACTTTCAAATTAGAAAATTGAAATAACTCTGAATTTTTTGGTCTCACATATCAGATTAATGTTATTCTTCAGCTTCTGACTAAAGCAAACCAGATCTTTTCAGCTTCTTATATGTGAGGAAGGGCAGTTAGTCTTGAGAACTGAAAACAAATGCTTGGGCTGATATTAGATCAAATTTATTGGTAAATGAATAAAAATTTTCATGCAGTGGGAAAATTTTCAGTGAGTAAATATCATTAGCATGTGGGCAAAGCCAATGATGCCGCTTTTATTAATGCCTGTTCCTCGGTCTTTAGTAGAGAACTTTGTAGAGACATTGACATTTCCAGATGAAGCACAAATGTGTTCAAAATACTTTCTAAAACCATGTGTTGCAAAATAGATTTTGCAGAATAAACAGCTGCATAATTAGTTTTGTCATTTAAAAAATTTCTTAGCTGTGTTTAATGGAAAAAGACTTAGTGTAAAGCTTAGAGCATGCATCTTGAAACTGGAATTCAGAAACAAACTGAAATTTGGATGAAAACCTGTGGGTTTTTCTTTTACCCTTCCATGTTGGAATAAAACATGGAAAACAGTTTTATCAGTGCTCACTGGCAGATTTATGGTAGAATGTTTTGAAATGATAATTAGTAGATGGCATCCCTTTTAGTAACTTTCTGGATGGTTAATCCAGAAGATGAATTTTAGTCACTCGTTAAAAGACATATATGTGCATGCATGTGCACATATATATATATAAAAATAAAAAATAGCTTTTAAAAATGAGCTTGGTTTGAAAACAACTTTAATTCTAGTGAGGAGAAAAAAAGGGCTTATTATTTGATCATTTCCTTTGGTTATTTTTGTCACAATACTTATCTGAGCATTTCCTTCTAATAGCACCATCTGTAAAGTCGTAATTCTGTTGAACGTTTCAAAGCAGAAAGAACAAGACTCTACAGGTTTATTATTATCATATGACTACAGAAATACTAGAGAGAAGATGCGTCTTCAGTAAGCACAGAAAGATTCCTTAAATAAAATTCCTTATAGAAAGTGACTGGGGGGAGGTAAGATGTCACTGAAATGGAAGAATAAAAATCTGCCTTAAGTGAGACTTCCTAAAGTATAGTTTTCTGTAATGATGCATGTACAACCCATTTAAGCTAGGGAAGCACCAACATCATCAAAAAAACCATGTTATTGAGTAAAATATGGAATAGATACAGAAAGGAGGACTCACCTGTTGTGAAAAGACTGGAGGTAAGAGAGAGCAGTCCAGTGAAAACCAGTATCTTCATTGTAATACGTGAAATCCAACTAGCCAAATAACGATGCTGTTCTAGTTCATCTCAAGAGGCGTTTTGTGGGGGATTTTTTTCCCCTCAGTAAGTGACTACGGAATGATTGATCTGTCCTCCAGAAGCATCCTGTAGACATAAGGTTTATGGTAAGGAGCTAGTTTGTTCTTTGTCTACTACAGCAAGAGGGTGTGACGTATCCAAATATGCACACATGACTCAGTTTCAGCCTCTGCCCAACACAGAGATAAAATTGCTTTACAGCAGCAATTTAACTCCTAATTTACCACAAGCCTGAAGCCAATGTGGGGGGTTGTCCTGGAATTTGTACATACAGATATTTGGGGTAAAAAGGTGTTTTCTGGAAAAATCAAAGAGTGTGTTTAGTAAATCCTCAAGGACCGAAATGCCACGTTGCTGAACTCTGTACCCTTCTCGAGGAAGGAGTCAGGCTTGGGGAAGAATGTTGTGACCTCGATTTAACAAATGCAAAGGTGAAAGCCAGCCACACATGCAAACATACCTTAAGAAAACTGTGCTCTTCTTTGCCTTCTACCTCCCTACCCACTACCAGCTCTCTGTGCTCCTTCGATCTGGCTGCCAGCACGGCTCAGACAGTTCCCACCCCTCCACAGCCTCCAGCCTCTAAAACCTTTCCCCTATTTTCATCTGCTGTTTTATTGATCCCTTCCTTTTTCTCTGCCTGGCTTTTTTTTTTTTTTTTTTTTTTCCCTTGAATGCCAAATAACAACGTCTTGCTTCAGCAGACAAAATTAGCCCAAGTCTTGGTCTGGCTTCCAAGCTAGTGGCAAGGCTCAGCATAAGCTGTACTTGGCTCCAGAGCAGTATTTGTGTATTTAGTGTGTAAAAGCTGGACACCAGATAAGGAACTCTTTTCAGTTTCTCAATCCTTTTCTCAAAATTGTCAGCTGTAGTTTGGGAATTTAGTATACACTCTCTCAAGGGTTAACTCTAACTTTCTTGTTAGAAAAATTTGCGGTGTGTGTCCACTGTCATGTGATTGCCTGACATACTTCATTTTATTTAGATATTCTGCTACCTTGTTTACATGTATAATGCAAACTGAATAGTCTGCCTTTAGGGATTTTTTACCCTGTTTTCTCTTTGTAATTTCTGTGGATAACAGATTTATTGGTTTTTTGGCCTGGAGTTGGGCGCAAAACCAGGGATATTCATTGCACAGCTGGTTCTTTGTCCACACTGGTTTAGCTTGAGCGAGTTTCTGCGGGTTTTTTTCCTGAAATATTTGTGTGTATATACTCCTAGATCTTTATCAAATCAGTACGTTCCAGTTTCTCTCATCATTAGTCTATTACAGACCTGGCACTCCTATTTCCTCTTTAGAATGAATTTTGTTGCCCCACCTACTGGATTAGATCTTAAATGTCACTTTAGCTCTGAAACCCTATTCTCTCAGCTGAAGTGTTGGTTCACCTGTGAATCTGGGCAGGTGGAGCAGGGTTGGTTAGTGGGGATGTTGAGCCCACTTTCCTGCACCTTCTTATTTTAACTTGGGTTTAATGCCATGTACTGTTAGCCTGTAGGAAAAGTGAGACCTGCTCTGCTGCTTAATTCCTGAAATGTTCGCCACCTGAGTTAAGTCATCATTACCAAACCTGAGCTGTCTTTCTGTGTCAGTTTTTGCTGTTATTTTCTAACATAACGTGTACTCAGGTGTACATGCAGATCCTTTCCAAATAAGGGATTCTGAAAGAAAGCCAACTTCCTGCAGTATTCTGCTTTATGCTCTTCATGCTGCTATCACAGTGCTGCCTGATAATGTGTGGTTTTATTTGATACTCATATTACTTTGCCTACGTATCATGGAAATGAAAACGGTTCTAGCTTCGCTCAAAATTTTTATTGATCTTTAGCAGGATGGTGTCTTCTATATATGAAAACTTTCAGAGCTTTGTATTTGAACAGGAGTTTATTCAAGTCGGTAAATAGAATATGAATGTGTTTTATTGCTGATTTTAAGCAGTCAAATTCTTTTTAGTGTCTAAGGGCTTCTTAAAAGGAGATTGTATATCAGAGCTCTAACAGTACGTTCAGACAACTTTTGTTATAATTCAGTTTTTTCAAGGCTTTTCTCTATCCTTTTTCCAGGAATCCCAAGATGAATCAGCGCTTCTGTGGCTGGATGAAATACAAAAAGGAATCAGTGATGCCAATAACAATATAAAAGAAGCGGCAATCTGTAAGCATTAATCTGCATCTGCATTGCTCTTGTTTTTCTTAGTCCTGAAAAACTGAAATTGGTAATTTATTTTTTTCTCTTCAGGGAAGTGTGGCAGCCCTTTAAATAGATCAAAAGAAATTAATGTATGTTCTTTGTCATACTGAAATTAGGGTGGCATAGATCTCCAGGGGTGGTGTTGGTTTTATCTAACATGGTAATCCTTAAGGCTTGGCTAATAACTTAGTGAATTTGGTTATATAGGTTAACATCATGACCAAGATTTCTAGTGTCAGTGTATCTTCACACAGCTGGTGAAACAGAAGAATATGTGAATGAGAAGGATATACTGTTCAGGAGCTTATTTTTCTTACATAAGACTAAAATCTTGATGCATGTTGTAAGAGCAAATTCTTACATGTTTACAACTTTTCTTATTCCTATTTCATTATAATGCCTTTTATTAAGTGCTAACAAAGAAAAATTAGGAACATATTAACTTTAAAAGTAGTGTAAAAAGAGCACTCAGGCTTTTTGGAGAAGTGCATGCTCTTCCAATCTGAAAAGAGGAGGAAATCCGTAGGAAAAATGCTGAGGCTTATCCTGTCAGAGCATTGTGTACTGGATGCGCTCAACATCTGTCAAAGTTTGGATGGGATATAATAACTTTAGAAAAATATTCATAATATGTAATACACTTTGGCAACTGATGTAGAAGCAAGTGTAGCTGTCTGTATGGGGCACGCTGGCGAGCATGGTGGCATCCCTACCTGTTCCTGCCTGGGGCCAGCAGAGACCAGCCGAGGCTGTTAGCTTGGCATCGGGTATTGGTTCACCTTCTGCTTGACTTGGCTTCGGGCGAGTCAGTGTCGCCTTCTTTTGCACCCTAGGAGCTTGTGGATACAACTGCTGAAGTCGGTGCATTCCTGCAGTGCTGCATTCAGCCTTCGTTAGTGCAGTGCGGCAGCCTGTTTACTTACAGGCAGGCTATGTCAGTAGTTAGCGCTTGGGAAGTTGTCAGTGGAAGAAAACAAACACAGCTAGCTATTACAAAATCTTCTATCCCTGTTACAGAAACATTGCATTTAGCGTTACTGTTACTTTAGAATTGATTTAATCAATTAATACAGTCTTAATGTAATCAGTCAGATGCACTGAAGACACTCGAAGTACTCTTGTAGGTCACGCACCTGTAGTGAAAAGCACCCGGCTTGTGTTTTCTGAGACGGGGTCAGGCACGCACACATTGTCCCTACCAAGCTCTTGTACTCAGGAGTGCTGATACCTTCTTTTCTGGTCAAAAACGGCTTCCCATCAATGTCACCCAGAGGCATGAGGAAACATCTGGGTGTGGAGAAGGGAAGGAAATGCATAGCTTATAAACAGCTATAGAGTTAAACAGTTAAAGCTAAAGAGCGACTTGAAAACATCCTCGTTTGTGTCTACTAGTGTAAAAGCATTAAGAATATATCTCATAAATGGCCTGCAGAAATTAGCATAGCATTATCCATATACTAATACCATACAATGTTGCTAATGATAAGCTACTGCTCTATCCACTAGCTAGTTGTTGTTGCAAAATCTTTTCATATAATCTGTGTCTGTAGCGAATGCACAGCTCTTCATAATCAAGTATGATCAGTAAAGGTGTTTTAACAAGTCATTTGTGGAAATACCTACTAATCTCCTGTACTCTGCCCTCTGGGTTGAAAGGAAGCAGTGTCAGCACAGCACATTCTTCAGAAGAGCTCTAAGGTTTTGCAGCTCAAAACTGAGATTTAAAATTTCCCCATGGCACAGAACCTGATACTTCCTATAAGAAACACATCCTGTCTCAGGAAGTTAGCCTGTTGTGTTCACATAGTCTAAACTTAAAGTTCAGCTTGATCACAGCTTGGAAATGAACGTTTATTTTGATCTATCTCAGAGATGCTATTTTTGAAAGACAAACAACTCCCCACATCCCATTCCAAAACTTTTGCAAGGCAGTCAAAGATTTATTTTTCAGTCAGAACAAAGTGTATTTTTGAGATTGCTGCAGTAATGGCAATAAAATAAGCAGTAAAATAAGAGCAAGTACTGGCAGCTGTACTGAAACAGCCTTGATCCCTTCCAAACTAATTTTTAGCCCTTATATAAATATTAAATACTACAGTATTAAAATTTTAAAAGGCTTTTACAAACTGTTTTCCCTGTCAGTAAAGGACTCTGTATCTTTTATCTTCATTTAGGAAGACATGTTCAGCAAATGCCGGTGCGCTTCCTAATTCTTTGTGGTGTTTGCTGTGCAGTTTGTGTCACCTTGCTTCACTTCTTGATCAGTTCAACCATCCTTATCTAAGTGGAGGACAAAATGAGATTGCCCAAATAATAGCTGTATAGCCTTCAGGAATAGACCTTAGTCTTGCACGGGAAGAGTCTGTCTGTCAAAGCAGGATCTGTCATGAGAGAGTCCATGTTATAGGAAAAAGCTGATCTTTGGCCCTGTTGAGAGTTCAGGCTTATCACACCAGACAGCTGCATCTTTGTATATCATAGCTGTTTGAAGGGAGGATGGGTGTGGAAAAGAGCCCTTCACAGTGTTGATCTGGTACTGGCATCCCAACTGCTGCAGACTGGACCCCACAGTTCTTCTGCAGCTGGGGATGGCTAAGCTCTGTTTAGCTTATAATTTTACAGGGTTCACATGGCCCTTCTTTAGAGCAACAGCTGCAGTATTAATTGCTAGCACTTCAATGGAAAGGAATAATTTATATTGAATTGGGTTTTTTCCATACTAAACATTTTTCTTACATTTTCCTTCAAAAATAAAGGCATAATTAATTAAAAGGTGAGAAAAAGCCAGGCAACAGGGGACCTACAGAAACAACTCTTAGTTAGGTTGCGTGCTTT